CACAACTTTGTCTGAAAGTCATATTCAAATATGTTTTTAAAATTATAAGAATAAGAATGACTAAATACACAATATCATATTAGAGATAAATGGTTTTATATCCATGTTGTTTGAATAATTTTGTTATTCATTTAATTAATCTATATTGTTCAAGTGATTTTAGGAGAGTGTTGTTTTTTAATACGTGGAATGTTGAAATGCTTAAATATACTAATACGTAGTAATAATTATTGTTCAACATTGAATATGACATCAGTTATTAATTTTATTTTGTAACATTCTAATAATGGATTAAATATGTCGCTAGTAACACCGATTTATTATATTTTGTTAGTCTATGATAATTTGTTGTATTGGGAGACATGCATGGTAATTTACCGATACCGTACTGTTGCCGAACCGAAACTTCGATATACCGAAATGCGGTAAACAGTGGCGTATCCAGAAAATTTGGCGAGCGGGGGCACACTTGCACTACAATTTAGTCTCATATTTGACAAACAGCAAACCGCATTACTAATATTGTTTGATTAAATTTAGTTTAAGATATATATCTACAACTCTACAAGTATGAATAAAAAGAAGATTAATTTATATTACGGGTGTGTGAAGATGTAATTACAGATAAAATGTAAAAAAAATTACCTAAATATAAGTTAAACATAACAAAATTTAGTGATTTTTTTAGCCTTTGATTCTTTTAATATGAAAGAAACACTCTTAATCCTATTTTAGATTTTGTTTCCCTACATTAGACTCTTCTTTTGAGCAATTTCTTATAAAATTTTAGACATATATATATAGGGGTTAGGTTGGGGTTGAGTGGGGGCAGCTGCCCCCGCTGCCCCCATAGTGGATACACCACTGGCGGTAAACCAAAACTTCGGTAAGATAACGGTATATAAATTTTGTATACCGAAAGTTTTGATACGGCAAAATGTATTAAAGAAAATATTCGGCATAAAATATTCGGTATTCAAGCCTTTAACTTTTTCTTTCTAACATACCGAGTAGTTCTTTTTGGATACTCAAAAATCAATGTTCTAAAAAGCCATTGACCCTCATGATATATCCTCTCATAATATATAAATTATGAGCATTAAGTCTCGTGATTTAAATTGCGTTAAACTTTTACGTGTAGTAATTATGCACATAACATCCTGAAAGAATAAAACCAACTGTCAAAATTAACTGCCAAAACAAAATTATGGATCGGAAACTTAAGAATATTTTTAGAAAAATACTTAAAAGATGCTGCATCACCCAAATTAAAAGTCCAAACTCTATTAGACACGAAAATTAAGGAAGTGTGTTAAAATTTCATGATTACCTAAGCTTCTTAACAACCCTGGGAAAGTATAATTTAGATTAAACTAAAAAACGGTAAAAAGGGCAAATGAGACCTTTAATTTAGAGCATCAAAATGAAAATGGGATTGTTACTGATGACAACTACGATACCCATTTGAAAAATGAGATACCGTATTTACTTGATTGTTTCAAATCATTATAGCATTTTTTAATTATATGTAAACAAATGTATTGTACCTAGTCCTGAACTCGGGCCGGGTGGCCCGACCCGGAACCAGTAATGTGCTGAACCGGCCCGACCCGGTGGCCCGGCCAGTGACCGGTCCGGGTAGGCCCAGCCCGGGGGGTTCCCGGTGCGGGCTCGGGTCACCCAAAAGCCGAAAAATTAACTTTTCGGGTTGGGCTGGGTATTTTGGGCCATTGGGGGGTGGTTTAGGGGGTTGGGGGGGGGGGGGGTTAATTAGGAAAAGCAAAAAAAAATGACCCGAGGCCCGGACCCGGTGGCTACCCGGGTCGGTCCCGGGCCCACCTATTCAGAACCGGCGACCCGCCCGGGTCTAGCTAAGCTCGGACCCAACCCGGCCCGAGTCCAGGACTAATTGTACCTTGTACCATAGAATCCTTCTTTTTAGAAATGTTATCAAATCACAGAGTTTTTTTATGGTAATCACGGAGTAGTTAAGAACAACCATAATGAGTTTGCAAAAAAAAAAACCATAATGCTAGATCGATTCCTATTTATGGGCGTGTTTGACATTCAACGATTAGCGGTTAGCAGATAGCAGGTTATGTTAGCGGGTTGTCAATAGCGTATTTAATCAGCGGGTTTGACTAACGGAATAAATTGGCGGGTTGTTAAAAGATTTTGGTAATTTTACTGTTTGGCAGTAAAATTAATAGAAAACACCATTTTTCGAAACGTCAATCCAAAACTCTCCTATTGGCAGCGTTTTCGTTTCAACGTTTTCGTCCGAAAACGCTAGTGCCGAACCGCTATTTACCAAACACCGCTCTCACTTATTGAAAACGCTGAAAGTGGTCAAACTGCCATTTTTCGGAAACGCCGTTTACCAAACACCCCATATCTGTAATACGTAGATTAAATCACAATTAGAAATATACTTTACATGGCATAAACTAAATACAACTTTTAAAAAGCCATTCTCTGGGACTCTGGGTTATGCTCATCTTGGGAAAGAGTAAATCAAATTGTATAAGATTAAAAAGCAGTAAAAACATACTAAAAAAAGGCTTTATTAGAGTATATAAACATGTGACCTCTCATGATTCTTTTTAACGAAATAAACTTAATTAGCATTAATGAAATCAAAGATCAACATCAACAATCCAACTTGGAGGATTACTCGACGAAATTTAGCTATTAGACATAGAACCACCCGTTTTCGCTAACTCATGATGGGCGTCTTTGTTCATTGATCGTCTAAGAAAAGAAAAAGAAATATTTGTAAGCTCCGAACAAATTAAATTCTATAATATCCTCCAGTATGAGTCCCTTAGTAGAAAGGCCCTTTACTCATATCATGGTCCTTCAACCAACTTAATTCTTCTCCAATACTCAATAATTCAGCTACTAGAGTACATTTACCCCCAAGGTTTGGCCACCCTGCTATGAACTCCCCCAGTCATCATGTAGTCAAAGGCCATAGTACTGAGTTAACTGACTACTTGTGGAGGCACCTACATTATCCTCATCCAATAACCGGGGATCGTCCCAAACAGTTTTGATCTCTCGTCTCCCACTCGACAGCAATATCCCTCCCTAATGACCCGTCGTATCTCAAATAAACTTCTTTAAATGAAAGAAGGGTCTTATCCTAATAAAAATAACCCTAATGACCCGTCGTATCCCAAACAGTTTAACTTCACACAGATTAAGAAAATAAAATTGACTTTACTGTGGAGTGCACTGTTTTGCACTGTTAAACACTGTTTGAACACTGTTTGGCATTATTTGGCACTTTTTTTATGTAGATTATTTGTCAAATAAGAAAAGTTTTGAAGTGTGAAGTTAATTTCGAGACTGTCCGAAAAGGAAAGTGAGAAGTTAATTTTGGAACGGAGAGAGTAAATTATAGATGCCCATAGAATCCTTTTCTCCATGCTTCTTCAGCCTACTGAGGATATCCTAGTCCCTCCACCTAAGTAGTGACCTAACCCCTTTTCCAGAATTTCCGTTCCACCAATATTCACTCATAAGGTCTTCAATTTCCGGACGTGACTCATTAAGGAGAAGAAAACATTCACATCATATGAATTACCATTTTTAAGCCTGAATTACCATTTTCCAATTTCCCGGCGTGACTCATTAGGGAGAAGAAAACATTCACATCATATGAATTATCATTTTCAAAAGCATCTCATTTCCAACTCTGCGAAAGAAAGCTTTCATTCCAGTTTTGTATTCGCATGACAACTCATTTACCTAAGAATCCAAAATCGCCTAATGACCCGTGACCTCTTATGAATTATTCAAATGGAGCACTACATTTTTAAAGTTACCCTCTTTAATCATATCCTTCAATGTCCACTTACATTTATTTTAAGATGCATCTCAAACTTCTTTCAGAAGTGTAAGCAACTCTGATTCAGAATCTCAAAACTAAAACTGGAACAAGAACAAAACGAGGCGGACATAATTCAGCCATTAACCTTTTTTTTTTTAATTACAGAAACCAAGTCCATCCTGCCCATTACCCAATCACTATGAACTACAAAACACCTGCATTTCCATTATTTCTTTGTCAACGCCACAATCTCAACTTCATTGGTTAAAGTCCGCCTGATAATAGTAAAATTGATAAAATTCTTACTAAAGCAACTGAATTTCCCGAATTGTGGAAAAATTATATTAAAATATATTTTCTTAATAAAAAAGTATATGAAAAATTAACTAAAATGGTATCACTTCAACTGATTTGAGTAAAAAGGTAACTTCAATTTTGCTTAATTAGATTATTACACAGTGCGACACACGAAATCAGTTTTGTAAAAAATGATTGACAAAGCTAATAAGCTGGAAAAATGAATTACCAAACGGTTTTATTTCTATTTATTATACTCCCTCCGTAACTTAAAAATCTTCCCACTTTCCTTTTTCGTCCGTAACACAAAAATCTTCCCATTTCTAAATCTTCCCATCATACCCTCAATAATTCTTAAAATAATACACTATTACAACTACTTTTTTGGGATTTATCCTACATTCCACCATATTATTCCACTATTTTCCCATCATACTCTCAATAATTCATATCATCTTTCACTATTCTTAATCTACCTACTTTTGAAATGGGAAGATTTTAAAGATACGGAGGGAGTATCTTGAAACAGAACGAGCAGTTAGACTGCTTAATAAGACAATAAACCCATGAGTCATAGATGACAGCTGGAGCATCTTTTACTAGGATGGTGAAATGTCGGGAGTGGACTTGGACCACTAATCCAGCATAGACTACATTTACTACTTACTCCATCTATCTAGCTTTTAAGTTCCTCACCACCAAACATAGACTACATCTACCGGTCAATGTTATAAATAGCTGTAAATTCCCCAAACGGCCAAACCCAAACCCAGAAAGCAATAGACATGCAGACACCAACTAATGTTTTACCCTGTCCCTAAAGAATATTCCATGTACGGTACTCTGTACTGGTTTAGCATTAAAAAATACGGAGTACTCCTATTTTGAGACAGGACACATACAGAGATTTTTATTGTCAATAATATTTTTTTAATCCAAGTGTAGTATTTGTGTATTACATATTTACATGTAATTGAAGAAAAAGAGTAGTCCTGTTTTCCGATCAGTTCCAGCTCTGGTCACACGCTATTTACAAAAGATATATGGAGTAGTATAAAACTAGAACCACCCTGGCCTATTTGGATGAACCGGAGCCCGAATGGGTTTGCTTTCAATCCAGATCCGGTTCCAGTCCGAACCCCTAGAAATATGCAGCAGACAAAGTCACCTGTCTGGCTGTCCAGGTTTAGAACCGACTTCACCTCTACCTCAAAGACAAGATTTTTATTCTCGCATAAACTCACTTATTTATGCACACAGCATACAATTGATGCATGAGACATATATGTTGATTGTTGAATGAAAAATTGATGTCTGATTTCTAACAAGGACAAAAAACCAGTATGTAACACAGTGGCATACTAAAGCACACATTTCGGCTCAAACAAATCATCATTTCCAATTTTCCATCCTCTTGAAATTCATATTATGGAATATCAATTAATTATGTAAAACAAATCAGCACAATAGTGGCAAAGTTGTGTCACAAACAAGCTGATAAAGTTTTAAGTTGTGAACACCCATAGCTACAACAGATTTCATGTGCCAAAATTGTACAGCATTAGGATTACACATAGAGATTTGAACTCGAGTTCAGAAACATGTCCCCCCCCCCAGAAAGACAAATGATGAAATACAACACTTTAAACTCAAAGCATCCTTTATTTGTACAAGGCTGCAAACCTGTTAGACCTGATTGTAAGGCTTGATGACTGATTTTTTTATCATTAAGACAAAAAACACAAAAAGATAGAGTTGTATATATGTGATGTAGCCTTCTTCTAATGTGCCAGTGGAAGCATAAGATTGGGATTATGTTTTTAAAGGGAGTCCTACCTATGATACACTGTTCCTTTAAATATATTTAGTGCTTAAATATACTCAACAGTTTGAAGTCACTATCTTGATATCTTCACACTAGTTGATTAGCTCACACGTGTTTTGCACATAAAAAAGAAATGCAAGACAGATAAATGCAATAATAGGGAAGGTAGAGTGGTAGACTTCCCCTTATTAGATTCATACATAGTAACCAGGCTAGCCGAAATAAAGCATTACTAGACTCCCATGTCAACATGGCGCTCTTATTCCATTATTAATTATGAGCTAGAGTTGTGTTGATGATAACAGAAAAGTATCGTCATTCAGTTCAAAAATGCTACGTATCAAATATTGAACCTGACCAGTTAGTCGTTACCATTAATATTTAGAGCTCTTGTGCTTAGAAGTATGACCTGACTGTCAACTGCTAAGCACTCTTGAGTTACGACACAGGCCAATCCTTTATAAATCAATCAAATTAGAGAAAATTCCTTGAATAGGACTGAAACATGTATTAAGTTCATAAATAGGACTGAAACATGTTTAAAGCCAATCCTTTTAAAGGACTATCAATCTTTTATTCCCAAAATAGGACTCATTCACCACTATTTTGGCAAGTTTTAATCAAGTTATTCTTTTAATAGGACTAAATATAAAAGATGCTTAGTCCTATTTTTGAACTTCGTGTATGTTTTGGTCCTTCCATGAGCAATTACTAATAAAAAATTATCCTCAACTATCCCAGTGTCAATATAAAGATTCTCTATAATGCCTTGTCAAATAAACCTTCCAAACTCCATATTAGAAGTTAGGGATGGGAATGGGTAGTGTTATATGGTACCCCAGAACCCCTGCCCTAATGGATCCCATTTAAACAGATAGGATGAGATTTAGAAAGATACTTTTTATTTATTGTATTTTATTAGGCAGCCGGTGCACATTGGCATCCTTGCAAGGGTGAGGGTCCGGGAAGGGTCCCACCACAAAGGAATATGAGATTTGGACGGGTATGCGGATTCAATTTATTGCCCGATATGATTTAGAATTAGCATTGTGCATGGTTTCCAAAAACACAGTATAAATTACTCCCTCCGGTTTTTAATAAACTTCACACTTTCCTTTTTGGGACGGTCTAAAATAATTCACACTTCCTTATTTCCTTTTTTGGCAAAGAAATCTAGTGCCAAACAGTGTCTCAACAGTGCCAAACAGTGCCTCTACAGTGCCAAACAGTATCAAACAGTGCCTCAACAGTGTACTCTACAGTAAAGTCAAATTCCATTCCTTATTTTGTGTGAAGTCAAACTGTGAAGATTAAAAAAAACCGGAGGTAGTATATTAACTACTCTAAATTAAAGTTTTATTATACTGGTAAACATAAAAAGTATATATAGTAAACCCTACTTGGACTATGCAGGGGGTCATAATTCTTGTGCGCAAAAAATTAATGTGATATTTGTTATTGAAAATTCCTAGCTATTCATGTTCAGGAAATGAGAGGGATTTAAATGCGTAATTGGCAAGTATGGTAAGATGAGAACATTAAACAGACCGAGTTCGGGGGTACTCACGTCTTGAAAAAATGGGACTGTGTGGCTGAGAGATTTATGATCTAAGATTACATGAGTTTGAGACAGGACTTTTAATACCGTTTTGAGATGGGAAACGCTAAAGAGTACAGTTTCCTGTCGGCCACCATACAATGACAACAATCAATGTTATTACTTTCTATGTTACTTTCCGTTGTTACTTTCCATTGTTACTTTCAATATTACTTTCCATTGTTCTGTTCATTCTTTATTTTTCTTACCCGATTGGGAAAAAATAGTAAAAATTGAGTTCCTTGCAACTCAATACCAAAAGCTCTAAGAACAGTGTCAAGTGACTTAACATACACAAGTTTCTAAACACTGAAATAAAGATCTGCAGCAAAAAATCCCATCATGAACTTATACAATGCTTTCATGATGAAAGCATTTCTGAACTTCGGCAACAAGCAAAACCAATTTCCTACTTCCCAGCCATAAAGAACACAATATGGTCATTCTTTTAATATGAGCTCAAAGGCTCAAGCACAACTATGTGATGTTCTGAACTAGAATATCAAACTAATGGGGAAAAAGAAGTCATTGCTTCAGATAAACAACGCCACCAACCCTGTTATTAAATTGTTAGAATCCATCCTATATACGCCCTCTGTTCCTATTTATTTGTTTAGGTTGACCACATCACACAGTTTAAGAAAATCTATTGGGGTAATAGATAATCGAATTGTGAATGCTTTAACAAAGAAAATCCCCACCAGAAGCTATCTTCCCATTAATGTCCTCTTGTGAAAATGGAAAATCGAATAGTATGAGCAGGGTAAGTACAAAAACAATTTTTTTTCCATGCATGTATTTCATAAATGGATGCCGATGGATGAAATAGAACAAGGAAAAGTGGCCAACCTAGACAGATAATAAGTAGGAATAGAGGGAGTAGTATTTAAGACTTATATTGACCATTGCTGCATTTGATCATATGACCAGCATAACCAGCCTAAACCATTATCCTACATGTTTAAGTTTCAACAGATGCCATAAATGATTCTAAGCATAACTGCATAATTATGTGAAAGCTGTGAAATAAGGACATGCACTAATGGGAATTTAAGGTACCTAATTGGCTAATTGATTCAGGGTTCAGACAGCAGCTTAAGGGTAAGGCATATAGCAGCAAGACTTCCTAAGCAAAGTTTCCGAAATTAGATAGCTTTGCCGATTCAATTTATGTTCTTTAGCAGTCCGATATTTCTAAGACTAGACTACATTCAATAACTAACCAGGTAACCTAGCCGCATAATAGTATAGTACTCTCGTATCAATGAATGCTAGGATGTGCATATGAATGGGAAACTATAGCCCCTAAAAAATGCACCTAAAGAACAAAAATACATATGGAGAAAACACAGCAGGCAAAAAAGTTTTTCATTAGTAGGGCTATGGGGGTGGGGTGGTGGTAGTATGAATGAAAATATGTACCTCTGCAATTTCATAATAGAAAGAAAATGATCCTTCCAGACTCAGGTGCAAAATCTAAAGAAAAACTAAATAATAGATTATAGAACCAACTGTCACCTTTATCCTGCTACCTTTGTTGGACCCATTTCATCAATCTTTGAGCTCTTGTGCTGTAGCAAGTCAGTGCATAAAGAAGGCAGCTGAATTAGTAAAATGGGAAAAAAAATATAACTCATTATGTTCAATTTGGTGAAATTGTTGGATTTTTTACAGGTTTATTTGGATATAATTAAAAATGTAAATACTTCACTTCACAGTAACCCTTCTTATATTTATTTGGCCACCAAGTGATAATGATTTGCTGATTTTAGTTCAAAATAACATTTGATAGGTACGGGTGTATGTAAGTGGTTAACTTTATTTGAGTCTACACACATCTATTAATAATCAAATTGCATTTAGCATTATATTCATATTTATTATTTAAACATAATAGATGGTTCAAACTTCAAATTAGTGTTAATGTCAAGAAGGCTGAGAAAGAGCCAAAGATGTCAAGGAAGAGGAGTTGATATACATGCTAAACAATCTCCACATGCTAAAACTGGTCTCCTTGCTGCTTATGCTTCCTTGAATTTCCAATTAGCTATTGAGGAATCTTTCTAGAACAGATGAGTGGAGCTACATGATTTATGGTAGGGTACAGGAATGCCACCATTTTCCATGCCAAGATGAAATGGAAACTGATAACAACAAAGTGGGGGATTCCACTGAGGACTTCTTCAGGAATTTGTTTACTAATGGATTGCAGGATAATGTTTTAAAAATTACCCTAAATAGGAGTAAAAACAATGCGAAATTCTATACGTTTTTATTCTCTAAATAGAAGTAATTACTGCCATGCTTGAAAAAATACCGCCAATTATGGCATGAATACTGCCATATTAGGTCTGGTAACGTCAAAATATGACAGTAAAGGATGATAGTAAGTAACTTCTATTTGGGGGGCATTGTAGTCCAATTTTGGAATTATATATTGTTTTTACTCCTAGTTTGGGAATTTACCCATAATGGTTTTATGAGGGTTATCCCTTCTGCTATCATCTTTAGGACAATGAGATGCTTGACAATATTCCTAAAGATAATGACATCAAGGAAACAGTTTTACTATGGGTCCATTGAACGTCTGGGAGCTTTGAGGCTGGATCTTATCAATCCTGTTGGGAAGTCATTAGCAAAAATCTTGTAAAAGAAGTGTGAGATTCTATAAGAGGTAACATTATTCCTCAGGGTGTCTCATCCACCACCATAGTTCTTATACTTATGGTTTATCAGCCAAATATCCCAAAATTTGGAAGGGCTTGAGACCTATAAGCCTTTATAAATGTGTTTTTGAACATCATTACAAGGGTCATGAATAACTGACCGGCTCTATCCTACGTAGAACTAACTCTTAGAATCAGAAGGGATTTATTTAAGAGAGAGGTGTGGATAGTGTGGTTCTAGCTCAAGAAGTGGTGATACAACTGTACAAAAAGGTCACACGTGGAAACATCATAATGAAGCAGGACAATGCTTAAAGCCTACAACAGAGTTGATTAGGGCTTTCTTCCCTCTTGAAGTTATCAGGCAGTTCGAATTCATTGAGAATTCAGTTGGAAAGAAGAACAGAGCTATCACAAAAATTCAGTTCTACATCCCTGTCAGTGGAGAGCTACATGGATTTTTGCACACTTCACGAGGATTGAGACTATATCCCCTGTCTTATTCATCATTACAGATGAGGCCCTTTCAAGAGGTCCAGATCAACGTTTCTGAACCATAATTCCATAAAACTTTGAATTTTACATACGGGGGAGGGAGAAACATCTCACATCATCACCACATCTCAGTGTGTTGTTGATGTCATTATCTTTTTCAACGCTCACCAATGCTCTTCTGAGCGATTCATGAGATCTCTATGAATTATATGAAGGAATCCTATGTTAGGAGGCCTTAATAGCCTGTTGTTGTATTCTTTACAAGGTTATTTTAATCATTAGTTCCTAAGTGAAAAAGAGAGGAAAGAATAATGCATGATTTGTACAACTTATTTTGTACGTAGTATGATGGAACTTTTCAGGAAGCATACGGCTTAAAATGATACTTTGTATTTATTAGTTTATTACTAATATTATTGTTATGCTTTAATTCAACTAATTCAAGGTAATTCAACTACCCAGTATCCAAAGCAAAAACTGATCAGATAAAGTGATATACCCATAACCTTTGGTTCTCAATTTGGATAAACTGATGGTGCTCATCCTACAGCATTATATGTTCAGGAAACTATTATAGGAAATACCAAGTATGAACAAGGAAAGCTAAAAAAACAGTGTTACCTTGCTTTTCTTATGCTTCTGAGCATCATTAAGGTCTTTTTCTCCTTCATGCTTCCTTTTCTAGATTCATTAAAGATAGATAGATTCAGTGAATCAATCCAATTTCCAATGTTGTTAAGATCGCGAGTAAACTCGTTAACTCGTCCGATCTTATGAGTTCAAAACTTCAAACTATAATGATTGATTATCAATCATTACTCATTTGATAAGTTCACATTCTTTGAATCCAGCTCACATTTTTAAGCGGTGGATAACAAGTACATCAGTACATATAAACTACCATCAAACTTCTTCATGTTATAAATTTGAAATGTAGATTATTTAACTCAAATGCGAAAATAATGTTGGCCATTTGTAGCTACTAAATCTTTCTGTGTAAGTCTAACCACATGCACAAATTTATTAGCGAAGTGTCACAAACTTGGCAATGGAGTTAAGATGAAAAGCAGTAACCCTCTAATAAGTGATGTAACATGCTTGTTTTCCACTTATATGAAGCAATTAATTTAAAATACAAGTGAGAAATGAGAACACAAATTTAAGTTTCACGTTTTCAATATATAGCAAAAGAAAAACCATTTAAAGGAAAATGAATAAGCAATATATTTTTCAAACCTTCTCATGATGTTTCTTTGAATGCTCAGCACCGGATTCATGATGACCGCTTTTGTCTTTCTTTTTCTCTTTGTCCTTATCTTTGCTTCGATCTTTGTGACCATGCTTATGCTTCTTATGCTCTTTATCTTTATCTTTGTCCCTGTCCCTATGTTTTTTGTGTTTTTTATCCTTCTCTTTGGACTCACTCTTAGACTTGCCTGCTATAGTCGGAATCCCCTTCTCAGACTACAAAAGTACAAACCCAAAAATAGACCTAATTATTAGTACATCTGAAAGACTGCAATTAATAGTCTCAACATTTAAGAATCCAAAAGCAAGCATTTAAAGCAAAACTATTTCCAAAAATAAATCTCAAATTTGACAGCTTTGGTGGTTCATTACGGGAGGGAGATGAATTGGTGTTGTTTCCCTCAGATGAAATGCCTCTACCAGAACATCTAGATCAAAAGGTTTTATCTGTGCATTTGTCTCGCTCGAAAATGAAGTATCCTCAATGAGCTGATTCAATTGCATTCCTTCCCCTTTCCTAATTTCTGCATCTCCCACAACACTATGCAGATAGTGTGTATCTGATACTGATACTGGAAGTGAATTCTTGCAGAAGAACTCATGATGTGGCAGCAACTTGAAGTGCCTTATGAGGTCTACGGAACCTGAAAGCTCGCGCAGGCCTGATAAATTAATAGCACCAATTTAGAAATCAATGCATATGGATCTGAGCTTCAGAAAAGATTATTTGAGCACTAGAGCAAAGATGGTGCTATAAGAAAATAAGATAGTCCTAATTAGTATTTGGGGGTTAAGGTATTCAATGACTTACCTCGCCCAAATTTCTTGTTATCCACATCCATCTTTTAGCATCAAGTAAATTAAAATGGCATTATTTCCTGAAATAAAACAGAAAAGGAATATATGTACACATGGTTTCATTGACAATAACAAAAAAAGTCAAATAAAATCACATTCCAAGAATACAACAGTCACATGAAAATATTTGCACTCATAGTAATAAACAAAAAAAACTTTTAGCAGGGTTTAAAATTGGGTGCAATCTCCAACTTGGAAGCAAAATGGGGTACAGAGTACACACAACAACTGAGAACAGTCATGTAGGGTACAATCTCAAATTATATTATCACCCACCCTTGCATCCCATTCTGTTTCGCCCATCTCCCTTTTTAGGCCTGTCTTTAAAATATTTTTCTCATTACAAATTTGGCCATACATATCCTGCCTTACAGTAATTGCTACTTCTATAAATTCAATATAAATTGCACAATCCTACTTTTCTTTAATATTTGATTATTTGAGTTAAACTCGATCACCCAAACCTAATGAGACAGATATGATATACTAGTAGTAGTTTTAACGAACTTTCATACGGGCTGAACAAACTTCTCTATGATCGGCAGTACTCTGCACATTTGAAAAGATAAAATTGAAATGTAAAGAAAGTCAATTACCAGATGAAAACAAGGTTGCGGAATAAAACAGGGATCCACGGGCAAGTACGGCACCGCTAAAAAGAGAATGTCCCTCTATTGTTCAATTTAATCGAATATGCTCTGGAATTAGAAAATCGATTGAAGAGAATCGGGTGACGGGGTTAGACTTCAGCTAAGATTCGTGGCTCCACAGTCAGCCAAAATCCTTCTGTGTCACCTCGTGTGGGAACGAAGAGAAAGAAAGGGAAAGAGGATTGCTTTGCAACCCAAAATTACTTAACGTAACTTTCTTTGTAGACGCCCAAAATTACATGAAGTTAGACCATTCCCCGAGACTTGAACAATGCTTTGATCTCTATTTATTTGTATTCTAAAAATGTCAATAAAGTATTTTTTACATATCAATTTAATAATACATTAATTAAATTTATGATATGTAATGTTTTTCTTTATTTTATTATTATCTGAATAATTATGAAATAAAAAATACATATTTTGATGTAAAATAAAATAAAATTCATTAATTTTTTACGTTTTTTGATAAATAGAGTTCATTTACATTAGCGCACTGGGAATTCTCTTCTCAACTTGTTTGTTTATCCATAACATAACTGATTCTCTTCTCAACTTGATGTATGTGTTTATATCACATTGGATTCTCTTTTTTACTATGTGTGTCCTTTCATAACACATTGAATGTTATTCTTCCCTTGATTTATCCAAACATAATAAATTGGATGTATCCTCCATTGGATCCTCTTACTATCATATTACATCATAGAACTATATTACTATAAATATATGGTCTCACTTGACATTGGAGTCGCACACCTCATTTTTACTTCTCCCATTTTCAAGTACCTGCGACAAGGTAAAAGAACATGAGTTCTTTTCCCGCATTCTACAATCAAGATGAAGATGAAGAACCATATTCCGACTGCATGCAATGGCTATGGTGTCTTCTTTGGTTGCAACAAGCTCCAATAGTTGTGAGTGCATGGTTGAGAAGTTGGACAACATTTGTTGATAGATGATTACTGGAGTTCAAACCCACCTACAACGCTTGCATCTGTTGGCGTCGTTTTCGCATGCAATCGTCTTTGTTCGATCGAATCATGAAAGATGACATGACCTTTGATCCCTATTTTCTAAGCACAACAGATGCAGCATATAAGGTATCTCTTTCTAAAAAAACTCACTAGTGCGATATCAATTTCGTCTGGACGGTTCGGGATGAATTCCACCGTTGTTTATCTTTTAATAAAAATATATCGGCATAGCTACTTTAGAAAATATTTTCTATAGAAAATAAACAATAAGGTTGGTATTATTTTGGTTCAATGGTAGTATGAAATTAAAAGACAATTAACCAAATACATAACAACTTAAAAAAACTCCGATTATTACATTAGCACACTTCGTTTTAAAAACTCCATAAGATCTTTCCAACGAGATAGAAAACGCTTTAAACAGAACGAAATAGAGGAAGATATGATTAGATCAAATTCTACCCGAGTTTGGAGTCAAATCTGAAATGTTTGAGAATGTTAGGTGAATATGCACCTTTTACTTATGCATTGTAAATGAAGTCATAACAATAGCCTCAGAACCCAAAATGATCTTTCTAACGAGATATAATACACTAGAAATTTATGCTCGACAATGGTGTGTCCATTTTTATTGCAATTGATGCATTTTTCATTGAACTTGGTTTTGGAAATGCCTCCCTGGGGCCACCAATGATTGGGAGTTTCCGATATGATCGTTCTTGCGATTAATTATCCTCTTTAATTCAAAGACGGGGATCAATTGCTCCAAAGTCCATTTCCTGTTGCTTATACTTAAGGTAGTTTTTGAAATCTTTTCAAGTTGATGGCAATAGGTGGATGATCGACGCCACTTGAAAAGACTCACTAATTATCATCCCCTCATCTCGAATTTTATTGAAGATCATTTGCATCACCTCAAGACAGTCTTTGAATCCACAATTTTAAAGTTCAGGAATTGGTCGACAACAATTTGTGAGGTATTTTCAGAAAGCTGGAGACTGATTTTAGCTGAAAAACTTCGTGTGGACTGTGAAGTATTGTGTGTTGTTGAGAATCACCTACGAGTAAGATGAATTTGTTGTGTGTTAATTAAATTACTCCTTAAATTTTTTTCTCAAACAACTAGTCCCAAAAATAAGAAAAGAATCTCAAATTCAATTCAATATCCAAGAACACTCATTAACCTTGATTTTATTCACACTCAAACCACATGGAGATCTAGCCTAGCATAATTACAAATAAACTAACACAACTAATGAAGGAACTAGAGTGATATATGGATATAATTAAACAACAATTAGACATAATTAACTACCACAATTATTCGAGTAAGCAACAACTCCTAATATGAAATAATCCAGCAATTAAAACGCAAAAATCATTGAAGTTCGATTCTAAGGAAAAATCAAGTCAAGTTATAGAGATTATAGAAATTTTACTCGGACTCAGTCCCGCAAAATTTCTCCTCCAAAGGAATCTAGTCACTAATGCGGCGTCTCTACCCTCTTGCCTTCGTGAGTGTGTGTTTTTCCTAGATGGCTGTCTTATTTGGAAAATTTCTATTTGTACTTGTCCTTATACACACCCCTTGTGAGAGACTGTTTTTTTGTCAGTGAATCTCTTTCAAAAACTACTTGCTTGTTTTGTCTATGAAAGGGATTCACAGACAAAAGAAATAGTCTCTCATGATGAATGGGTATAAGAGTGAGTTAAAAGTTGGGTACAAGTAGCAAAATTGTCCTATTTATTTTCTGTCATTAAGGCTAACCGAATCCAGCTCCGTCAATATATCAAATTCTCCACCATTTTATATGTATTCACTCAATCAACTCAGTTTTCCACTGCAATCCAGTACCGTCAATATATTCACCGAACAAAACATTTTTTTTAATAAAACCTTACTTTTTTATTATCATACATCAATACTTTTCCAATTTTTTTTACAGATAATCATGAATTTAAAAGTCAATCGTTCTAGTGTAACAAAATTAATTCGGAGTGTATTTTTTTGTTATGTTTGAACTATTTTTTTTAAATAAATTTGAGTGATGTAAAAAAATGAATCATGAGATCTAAATTTTAGCATTTCAATATATCTAAGAAAAAATTTAGATCTGAAAACCTCCTGTAGTTAAAATTTCATATATATTTGATCATTTTCTTTAAAAAATGTTGGATCTGGAAACCTCATGCACTTAAAATTTCATATATTGTTTTAAATTATATATATGCAATATTGATGTATGAAAGATTATAAAAAAATGAAGTTTGATATATTTTCTATAAAATTTGGAAAACAAATAGAAAAGTTAGCTAATTCCCACGGATAGAGTGACATGAATCCACTATATTAGGACTTTCGAAACTATGGATTGTAAGGTTAACCGCAACCCAACCCCATAAAAAAAACATATTTCCCACTAACTTATATGTATTCAATCTGTCAATTTAGTTTTTACTGCAATCTAGCACCGTCAATATATTCAGTCATCAATGGTTTTCATTAATTAAAGTCTTCCTTTTATTATTATAAATCAAAACTTTCATTTCTTTTTTACGAATAATTATGATTTTAAAAGTTGAACATTTCGATGTAAAAATAATTAAATTTGGAGTTTACTTTAATTTTGTTGTTGTTAATTTATACCTATTTTTGAAAAATATAACTTCAAGATGTAAAAAAAATATCTCAATAATCATGAAATCTTAACACTTGAATCCCTAAACAAAAATTTAGAACATAAAAATCTCCAACAGATGAAACTTTATATTTTTATTTTTTAAACTTTATATATACGGAGTACAATATTGGTGTCATATGAAAGATCATACAAAATTATAAAATTTGATATACTTTTTATTAAAAAAAATGGAGTATAATTAAAAAAAAAGTTATAATAGATTTAAGATATTTGGGATTTTTAATTGTCCTAACGCCCACATTCACAATGACCAATTGTCCTAACGCCCACATTCACAATGACCAATTGTCCTAACACCCACATTCACAATGACCAAGTACGGATGCGTGCAGCTCGTTTCTCTCCCCGTGAATAAAGCCTCTAATTTCTACATCATCCGTGCTATCTAACCAATTTGGCACCCATTAATACACTAGACTAGTGTAACACCCGGGGCAATGCCCCGGTAGTGTCATGTTAATATGAATTAAAACGGTAAATAATAACAAATGTTGTGAATTACTTATAAATTTGTTTTCTGTATTTACAAAATTTGTTAATACCAGTTTTAATCTAAAATATACGGAGTATGTCAAATGATATTTGGAAATTTTAATCTAAAATAATTGAATTTTTTTTGCATTAGTAGTGTAAATGGTAATAATTTACCTCTTCAATCTCAAATAACCAATTGATTGGTATTTTGTGATATTAATCAATCTCAATTCACCAATATTGGTGAAGAAAAATGCCCTCTTGAGATTTGTGAGGGTCATTGCTTTGTGTTGACCTTTCTGTTACTTTTGGAAATTGTTTTCTCAATTCTTAAGATAAAAATCAGTGTACACACGTAAGTGATTTATTGATGTAAAATAAAATGTTTGTTATTATTTGTCGTCAGATTGTGAATCATCTCCGCATCCTCTCTAAACTCAATTCTGGAGCGTTAAACACTTAAACCAATTGGAAATTGAAATCTTACTTGTACTAAATTGTTTTAGGATCACTAATTATATTTGTCAAGTACCTTTATAACAATACAATTATTAAATTTCATGAATCTAATAAGGATATATTAATAAATACCCTTACCACTCGCAAGTCTTCAATTATTCCAACACATAAACAAATCACAAATGGAAATTTTTGTTTGATTCTTTATGTTGTTGGAGTATGCTATCTATTTCTTCATCACATCTATCCCACAAATAATAAATAATCCGAGACCCTTTTAAGGGGAAAATAAAGCGTGAACACAATAAAATAAAGTATAAATAATTGAATGATCATGTGACAGCTATACAAAATTAAATATACTTAAAATATACTTACTCCCGATCTATGAAGTTTAATTTTAATCCATTTTTTGTAACTCCGCTCCTCAAATTTACTGGATGTATCATCTAGTTAGTGATCACCCCATTACACTAATAGAACAGTTTATGTCACATTTTTTGAATAAAATTTCTTCGAATTTAGCACTTGGAAAATTAAAAGTCAAGATTTTAAAATCATGTGTTTCTTCAACAATTGTTGACTTAGTGAATAGAAGTTTGAAACTATGGTTGCACAAATATACGGAGGCCATAACAATGTACGTTTAT